GGCTTGAACCTCGATCACAGAGATTGTGTGCCCGAAAAGGAAAACATGTAAGCTTTATCTTTGTTTACACAGATTGATATCTCACTAAATCAACCCTTGTGTTATTTTAACTTCATAGCCCAGACAGCTCCGAAAACCATTCTCAGCTGCAGTTGACATGTTCCGACAGCTGGAAGAGAAAAGGAAAAAGTCAATCTTCTCGGTGTTGGGGCTCTCTAACCAGGAAGTATTGGCTTCCTCATCCTGCCCTGCTTGCTTTGGGCCACAGCCCCCTAATTTGTCTGATTATACTGCCAACATGCGCAATCGGCTTATAGTTTGTCTTGATGGCAACTTCCAGCACCGTCACCAAATCAAAGCTAGTCGCAATCACGAAAAACTACGTACACCTCAATTTTTCATCAGCCAAGCAGATGTCGATATTGTCTCACAAGAAATTCGGCACCAAGAAGCTCAAGGAATGACTCCTGAACAGGTGCGATCATTCTATTTGAAAATTATGAATGAAACTGAGGAGACCTTTCATTTCCACAGGCCGATCGTTGTACAGAATCTCACAAGGCGGCGGACGACAAACGTAATGAATCAACATGGAAAGGATGTGACGACACTGGGCTAATGGGATGCTGCTGCCGACACGATGCAGCTATCTATTTGACAAACATATACAAATCTGGCGAGCAGAGGCACTTCCCGATGACCATAATCAAGAAGCTTCTCTCCGACATTGAGCCCAACCGTCAAGTTGGAATATTGTATGATATAGGATGTACAATGGATAAATATATTGATCGTGTTTGTAGTGTTCTCCTCTGCTTCTGATGCTGCAATACATAATTAAGACTTCTATTTTTATTCAAAATTCAGCGCCAACTCATACCACAATATCGAAGCCAACTTAAATTTGGAACATCAGTCTTCCATGCCTATGCCCACAACTGGCTCTGCCAACTTGAATTTCATCCTAGATTCAATAAAGGCTGGGGGTTGTCAGATGGTGAAGGTCTTGAGAGGCTTTGGTCTTATCTCTCCTCTCTTGTCAGCCCCTTAAGGTATGCCACTCGCAATCAT